CTTCTCTCTTACGATCGCCTCTAATCGCGTCTCTCTCTCTCCATGGATTCCTCTTTTTTCTTTAAACCAAAGAATAGCGACGGCGGCGCCGGAGACGACGAAGGATGCTTCGTGAGTTTGGGCTGCGGCGGTCTGAAGTAGCTTCGGAGAAGATAAGTTTCTTTTCTAGACTGCTAGGTTTTCGAATATGGATTTTCTGTAGTGGTTTTTTTTCGATCGCCCCCCTTTCCACCTGTTAGGCCCCTTTTTATAGGTTTCAAATTTGAACGTCTTGATTGGAAATTGATTGTTGTCTTTGAATGCTGATTGAATTTAATTTAGGGTTTCTTATTTGGGATGAATCAGATTTGCAAAATATTCCTAAATCGTCTGATTGCTATAATGAGCCATCAATTGATATTTCAATCTTTGATTCTGGTGATTCAATTTTGAGATTGGGTTTGATTTGGTTTCTGGATAGGATATCCATTTTGAACAGGGTATATTCTTTAGTTAATTTGCTAACCCAATCGCTATGTTTCGGCAGGTGCAGATAGCAGAAGATATTGGGCCAGGGAAGAATTAAGCGATCCAGAAAAAGAGACAAGCTTGCATCTGATACGTGAATCGTTTGCTGGTATCTGACCCCAACGTGGCTTGTGCATGGTTTTACGCATTTCCAACTGATAGGGATTAATGTTCATACATCCATGATTGGTAATGTCGTGAGGATTGGGAAAGCTACCAGGGTTCTTCTGAGGTGTAGCAGTTCTTTCATCAATAGGATAATTCTTTTGTTGCAATGGTCTGTTCGGAAGAATCACCAGAGCTTAAGTGTCCAAAAGAGAAGGGATTTTGAGGATAAGAGTTGAATTCTTAACACTTCCTTGCTCTTCCCAACCTCCTGGATTTTGTGACAATGCTTTGTGCTTCAAAACTTCCACGCTAGGTATACTTTAGCTTTATCTAAACTGTGGTGAAACGTTTGGTACTGCATTTGATCGAGAAACAGTTTGTGCTCCAGAGTAAATAATGGCAGGTTTTATCTCACGAGCAGAACTTGCAATACATCTCGAGACCAGATTTCCAGAGGTGGCTGTGTATTTTGTAGGGGAATCGCAAGCTTGTTGAGATGGACGCTAAAGGGGTACAGGACTACGAATTGGAGACCTGCGTCGTATTACGAGACTGCACTTGATTATTAAATGACATGGGTGTCCTATCAGGATCAGTCATTCCAGGGGCATGTCAAGGGCCAATTTTAAGGAGTGACAAGTTGCCGACTGTTCAGCAGTATACTGTGTGTTGGTGGTGGAGCAGCGTGGACATGTTCAAAACCATTATTAGAAGGTAAATCACTTGGCCCGATCTCAGTATCTGATACCGAAATTTCTGATAAACTATGACCATCTGGAGATAGATTCACAACATTTCAGCTTTCCCTTTCGTGTTTACTGTCGTGCAGGTCAGCACCGGAAGTTGCCTCGCCTAAAGCACGCTGACTCTCTAAAGCTTCTTCTGACTTTGACAGGTACCTAATTCCTGGTTCTGTAGTTGGTAAATCCACTTTTGGGAGTGACCTGCTGCCGAGTGAGTGGAGGTTGTGCATCACTTGAAATGATTCTTTTTGTTTGACAGGTCGAGGAAACTGCAGTGGCTAAAAGAGTTTTCACATTTCAACAGTATGCCGAAATTGGTGTTGTGGTGCTCTAAACTCCGCAGCGTGCCGGTAATTTAGAAGAGACAAACTGACTTCAAAGTTGTCCTGAAGATGAGGTAAAGTCTGTATCAAATATTGTGGCAGGTTCAAAGTTTCTCACAGTTCATCGCGAAACCCTTTGCTTGATACGTTTTGGCTTATGTGATTAGTGTCAAATGATGTACGCTACTTCAATTTGGGGAGCTTCAATTTCTGTTGCCCGAAGGTTCAATTAACTGTCATTTTCTATGTGTTATTTGTCTCCGTCTGCGCCTCTCGGCTATTTCCTTTTCTTTATGTGTGTTTTTTTTGGACAACGCAGTGCTTGAACAGCCTCATTATGCAAGTTAGGACAGAAGGCAATCCGAGAATTAAAGGCCAACTGAGGCTCATTTGTAGAGTAGATATCTCCAGTTTCCTTGGATAACATCCATTTATTAGCATGATCCAATGTTGTATCAATTGCTCTATCACTGATAGCCTTTGATGTAATGCTTCCTGCATCAGCAATGGGATCTGCAGAGCTCGACCTCAACTTCTGAGCTACATCAGCCAGCGAGATGTGAGAAAATGATATACTGATGTTGTGCAAACCAGTCCTAATGACATTATGACGCAATCGAGCGATCAAATCATTGGTTCTGTCTGCCTTAAAAGTGGTAGCATACTTCTCTACAACAATCTGAAACAACTCTAAATCACCAATCCTGACAGCATTGGTAAGTTCAAAGTAAGGCCTCGAAACCTTCTCCATTTCTTTCTGCACGGAGATAGTCCTCTCAAGAATTTCTCCCAACCGTAAACGGACTATAATGGTCCATTTGTTATACCGAATTTGAAAACTCTGTGCTGCGACTGGTACTGTCTGAAACTGTTCTTGAGTTGAGTTGTTCAAAGTATGTTTGCTTACATTGAGGTAGTCACTGTCCTTAAAGTAATGCGTTGCACTGCGGTTTGCATTTTGATAACAGACCTGTTGTTGTTTGATGAATATTTCGCTGATACACTCAATTTCTTTGCAGACTTATTTGGGTGACCTGACATGACCTCTGGAAGTTCGAAGGTGGTAGGATCGGATATTGGTAGAGTTGGAATGACGACTTCCGTTGAGTTTGATACGGCAACTACCACACCAGTTTCCATTACTTCAAGCAAGAACTTGAGATCATCTCCAAAAGAATTAGGACTGTAAAAGGATAATCTAGAAATTATTGTAAACAATAATTTTTTATTTGGAATTAATTCTCTACGTGTCATCTTGGACCAGCTTATGCTTTAAAAGAATGAATCATAGTAGCTTATAATTCTTGTGAACTCTTAATTCTTGGGCTAGTGCTTCCTTTCAAAATTGCAAATTCCCTTGTATCTTATGAATCCACCCTTGAACCTTTATTTTGAATTTGTCAACAACTTGAAATTGAAAACTCTCGAGAACCAAGACAACTTGGATTCGACTTTTTTCTGAGTAAGAATCCTAAATCCTGACACCTTAATTTCGAGTTAAAACTTGATGCAAATCTGGCGAAAATTTCCGTATTTCTTCTTTAATGACCAACGGATAAAGTCTAGGACCTCTGAAAATAAGTGGTTTGATTTGAATTCCCACCTCGAATGATGACAAGTTCAAACTCAGGGGTTGTCTTGAGCGACTTTGTTCTTGTGCACCTCTAATTCATCACGAGCTACATGACATGCTCAAAGCTTGTATTCGACTTGGACAAACAAAAGAAGGATCCCTGGATCCTTATAATCCAACAATCACACCTTGAGGTGCTTGACATTACTGCATCTACAAAAACTTGTCAGCCGTAATAACATTCGCATAATAAAATAAACAAGCAGGAAGTAAGCACAAGGACATGGAATCTTATGGTCAAAAATTAGGGTGCGACAATAGGCACTCAAATTCCCCTACTCGTAGCCACCCTAGACATTTATTGCTCTTGACACGTGACTCTAGAAGACACCGCACGCGTCCTTCCAACTCCATCTCCTGCTCGAGACAAGAGTTATTTGTTCTCTTCCGTTTTCGTCACATCGTCGACCACATCACCCACCAGAGACATATCTTCGGGGAAACAGGAAAAGGGCAAGGACTGCATCTGACGGCCAGGCCTCCCCGCAAGCTCTTGTGTGGTCAAACAGTTCCTCCGGACAGGTCCTCGACGTTCGAACTGACTCCTTTGTCATTACTCTTCTGCTTAGCAACGACTTGGGGGGATCCTGTTCTGGACTGAATCAAATGTTGGTCCACCGTTGGGCACGACCCAACCTAACTCCTTGTTGAAAAGGGTTCAATAAAGGCCTAATCCATCAACGAGCACAGAGAGCTCTCACAGGTCTATCCCTCGGACTTCACGTACTCCCCACGCGGAAACACGTTATCAGACAACTACCCACCTCCCAAAGACCACAGGACAATTGACCTAGGACAAAGACCACATGTTGGTCTTCCCTACGCCACGTAAGTCCTGACAGTTACTCGTATTGGACCTTGCAATCCAACTCAGTGCAATGTAACTGTTAGCTCAACGTTGGAGGCACATTATAAATACCATATTTCACTGGAGAGTCAGATATTCTATTCTCTACATACTTTTTCTATACTTATTCTTTCTACTACGTCTCTTACTTTGACATCGAAATATCTTGCAGGTACACTTTACTCCTCTTCTCCACCACCGACAAATTAAGAAACTCACGACGTGTTTTCAATTTTATTTGTTATTTTTAATAATTTTAGATTAATCTTGTTAATTTCTTAAATAAATTTTAAATAAAGTTGCTTCAAAGTTGCGAGTTGTCATTACTATAAACTCACCGTTCTTAGTGGATATTATTTCTTAGAAAGTAGAATCAATAACCAAATGCAAAAGAAGAAGAAGAAGAAACTCTCAGATTTACACTTCAATTCTTTTATCTCTATATTTCTATTATTAATATTTTTCCCCATCAGAGCCTCTGCAAGTATAACCTCCATTCACTTACAACTCCAGTAACGGCCAGTGAAACATTGGCCCATACCATCCCACTGTTTATCAACAAAGACTGAAATAAAATAATCGAACTAAGTACATATTTGGTATGATGCTGAGTTTAGTACAATCACAGTGTACAACCGTGATTTTGGCCAAAACTGCACTTTGAAACTTCAACGAAATACAGTGTGTCACTGTAATATCGTCGATCTCACCATAATTTCAAAGATGCACTAAGATTCAGACGTCAATCCAAGGGAAAGAGTGGGCAGATGATAAGAAGGAAAAGTTTTACAAAACTGCAAAGTCTGGATTATGTATATGATCATATATGTGCAACTATATTACGATGAGGTATTGGGACTATTCTCAACCCTGCTCTCGCCCCTTTGTCGGCCGGCATTTTCCTCGATGACTGGTTCTGTTTCATTCCTGCCAACTTCCCTTTTGCAAAGGGGGCATAATGCATTTATCTTTAACCACTTGTCTACGCAATCTTTGTGGAAAAGATGTAAACAAGGCAATTCTCTCAATTCATCGTCGTTTTCATAGTTCGCTATGCATATGCAGCAAACCTGCACACATGATCGGAAAGTACAACAGATCAGTAGACAAACTCATAAAGCAAACATAAACATTAATTGAAGTCATAAAAAAACCAATAGTCGATGTAACAATGAAACAAATTGGCTTGATGTTCAGATTATCTTATATGATTCAATGATTGCATGAATTAAGCAATGGAATTTTAGATTTGTTGCTGCACAATTATCAAAAGTTGATGACATTACACTAACACCAAATTGAAGTTCACTGCCTCGTAAAACATAAATTATCAAAAGTGAAACATTCTTAATTCTACTGTCAGATAAAGGTTTCTACCTAGCTCACTATCTTGAAAGAACAACATAAATGGTATGAGTTTTACTTGAGGATTGTGAATAATTAAATATCAGTTAGTACTTACTGCATCTTCTCCGGAGATCACGCGTTCCTTTTCGGTTCCTACGGAAACAATTCCACCTTCAATAACGGCCGGAGTGCTTTCATCTATGCTTTTGCTTTTCTTCAATTTGAACTTGTGAGTTGGTAAAGCATCAATGCATTCAGAGGTTGCCCCTCTGGTTTGTGGCATATCCTCATTGACCCCAAGAGTGGAAATTATACAAGGAAGACAGCAGCAGATTGTTAAGCATAGAATGAAGGGCAATGCATAACCGATGCAGCTAAAAGTAAGAAACACTACACATAACCTGCCAAAGCAAAAGGAAGCAAATTTAATTTGCAGGGTCTGAAAAAACATAATATTAAACGTAAGAGGTTCTTAAAGGCTATACATACCGGTATAAATTTGGAGCTTCATTAGCGGATGAATGCCCTCCAAATATCCATATGTTTCCAATAACAAACCATGATGCAAAAAATAAATCTAGGACGATTTTGAAGTATTCCATAAGTATCTTGAGTCTGCAGATTAAATGCAAGAAAGAGCTTAGTAACTCTAAACTTCTCACAATCGAAATCATAGCTATAGGTGACTGAATAGCAAATTTTCAAACAAAAAAACAGCGAATTTCAACAGACTATATAAAGTTTTTCCTTGGTTATTACAGATACATTCTCAAGTCTTCTCAAGAATAGCATATGACCACACAACTACACAAAAAGGTGCAGCTTCCAAATTTATGCAAAAAGCAGGGATGTGATGCAAAAAAGCATCTTGAAGATCATATTCTTATCACATATTATCATTACACGGTGTATATCATGGATAGAACAAATTGTAATATTTCTAATAAATATTTGGTCGTACTAAAGATGAACAAAACCAAGTCAAAATCAAAGCCCCTCAACACCAGGCTAAAAGCTAAAACTTACTAGTATGTAATAAAATATCCAAATTCTAGATAGGCTTTTAGCTATTAAAGCCATCTTCATCAACAGTAAAGAGAATGTAACAAACATTAAGCTTTAATTTGAATTCACCACTAGAACTTTCAGCCTTTTTGGTATTTTGTTCAAGTAACTTTTGGAGACAAAATAAAACCAAGCCTAGTCAAGCTTGAAGGAGGTTCTAGCTCAAACTATTCGAAGAAAAAAAAATACGTGATTCTAAGACATGAAAACAACGAGTACTAATCTATTTTGATTGATTTGTTTGAGTTCATCTCCGAACATAAACATTTGTCAAACCGTTTGAGAAAGCTAATGAAAACAACTTATGACACGTTTTCATCTTATTTTCACAAGTTCTCCATCACAACTTATAAAAACAAAACTAGCTTATATGAAAACAATTCGACTTTAATTTGATTTTTGTTATAGAAATAGCTTATAAGCATTGATATGATACGCGTTTATGCTATAACTGTTAAATTAACTTGTTTATCCAAACAGCATAGAGGAAATTTAAGCATAATCAAATAACAACAACAATAAACATGAATTTGCACATCATAACCAAACATCGCCAACGATAATTCTATACCTGGTATTCGTGAACACCGACGAAGCCTGATTGGATGAAACAGGAACACCATCTTCTTCACCTTGATTTGTAGTCTGATTCGAAAGCAGAATCCCGGAAGGATCATCACCCGTGGTGGAGCTTTGAGACTCATTCCGTTCCCTAGCAAAATATCTCCACAACAACAAAGGAAGCGAAGCAGCACATCCAGAAGCATAACCAACAACCCAAGTAAACAATGGAGCATGCGGATGTTCATTTCTCGACGAATTAAGAACAACAACAGAAATAACAATTTGAGTAACCGTAAATACAAATTCCAAAGAAACACAAAACCCCGAGCTCAATGGAGTCCTAGCACTACGTTCTAATGAATCCCCTCTTAACCTAGAATTTGAAGATTGACGAGAAACATCATCAACACCACCACCGCCATTAACAGAAGAAGGAGAAGCTTCAGAAATGGAAGTCCTCGGAGTTGTCGTCGTCGTTGTTGTTATATCGATGATTACATGATGAGTTGTAGGGTTTGCCATCAACAATTGATTCGTTACATTCGTACGTTCTTGACCTTCAACAACCTCCATGTGATTCCAACGAAGGAATCATGGAGACGAAGAACAACATTGAAAAACCTAACGTGGGGGTGGTTATGATTATGATAATGATTATGATTAATTAGCGTAAGAGAAAGAGATTAATTAATTAATTAGGTGATTATTTTGATCGGAAGGAGGAAAGAAAAGAGTTGACTGAAAAAAACGATGTTGGAAAGGGAGGCAGTGGGGCCCGCCTACCGCCTTCCCTTTTATCCGCTGTTGTGAAATGGAGAATGAGAAAGAAGAAATGAATGGGTTGTGTAAAAAAGGGAATAGACCATACATTTCGCGATGGAAACACTTTTTTTATCTTGCTTTTGGGGATTCTTCTTATTTTCCTCTAGATTTTCCTATTTATTAGTAGATCATGCAAGATCCTCTTTACTCTTAAAAAAAGGACTCACGGGGCTAAAAGAGACACCCACCTTAATCCAATAAAACCGTTTATGTATTTTATTTAAATTTAAATATTTTTTTATTTTACCTAAATGTTTTTAATGTATCCTATAAATTTTTAAATATATTTCTTAATTTCAGAGATACATATTTGAACGCATATATTTTTAAATAAATGTTAATATATTTCTGAGATATATATTTAGAATAACTTTGAACATTTAAAACATGTCACTCAATATTTATTTATATTTGAATTGTTTTGGAGATGCATATCCGTTAATATTTCGGAGATACATCTCTGAAGTGTATCAGATCAAGTATTTTTTGCTATAAGTTGTATATTTGTTTTCATATGAAGTATGAAGTACGGTCTCGAATAAAAAAATAGACGTACAAAATAATAAGAGACTAATACTGGATGTGTCGAAAATGATATAGTAATATATGTAAAAAATGTCGTACAATTAAGATTCAAAATATAATAAAACTGTTAAAATAAAGTAGAGAGTATAATAGTAATACAACAAAATAATAACGAATTACTATTAGTGTGCCTAACAACTACTAGTATGAAGGAATAATGACTTAGTGAAAACTAGGTGAAAAGAGAGTAAAAATGTGCAGCTACAAGAATAATCACATGCAACATCGCGCGAATTTTTATACTAACTCTTGATTAATTACTTTGATATAAGAGATTAACATTTTATGGTCCAAGTTGCTTTGACTTCTTGATTTTTCTCATTTTAATTTTTTAATTTTTGACCAAAATCTCTAGTACACCAACCCCAAACTTAAAATTTGTTCACTTCCAAGAACAACTCCAAACTTATTCTTTTCCATATGACCAAAAAACTAAATTTTTTACCTAACTCCAAAGAGAGGGTGAAAAAATTTAATCTTTCAAGTCAGATGGCTAATTATTATGGCTATGTCACCAAAAGAAAGGGCTTAGGCTCAAAGTGGTTAGCAAAGGATATAAACATGATATACAGGTTCGCTTGAAAAGGCTTAGAGTTTACCACAAACAAGTGCCTCAATGTGTATTTATCAAACCAATAGATTAAATTAGAAATAATGCAAATTCTAAAAAATAGCAATTGTACGAATATTGTCATAAGAAGGAAAAGTAAACAATAGAATATTTGGCTCAAACCTTACTAGTTGAGGTATCTGGAGATTTAGTACAAGGTAATTGGTTGTTCTTTTCTTCCTCAACACTCAATCCGCAAGAAATTTTCCTGATGATCATCTTTGTTTTTTATGATGCTTATGGTTCATCTGCTCACTACTAAAATTGCAATTTTGTAAATTTGAAAGAAACAACAGCAATAAACTTGTTTATTAAAGGAAAACATAAATTTATTGGTACAAAGAGGAACCAAGTATTGTAGCAAATACTCTAGATTGACTTGAGAGGTTGACTTGTTAGACATAAAAGGAAATCATAGAAATTAATACTAATTTAGAAAACTCCAAATTAACATGTCATTAGAGCGGAATAAGTCTTGCATGGTGTTGTTGAAGTCTTGGTTCTGTTTGGTCCACTTTGCCCTTGTCTGATTGATTTTAATGCTCGAGAGGAGCGGTTTTGCTTTGGATCCATTCCTTGAAACAACAATAACACTAGAAAGTGAAGAGAGATTAGAAGAAAGAATAATTGGATTAAAAAGATTTTTTTAGTCTCTCTTTCTTCTTTCAAAACTAATTGATATAAACTGAAATTTAAAGTTTGCAAATGAAATAAAAACTTATCTAAGGGGTTGTCTCCCATTAAACGCTTCCTTAAAGTCTTAAGCTCGACCTTTCAATTTTTTTGTTAGGACGACATATGTGACAAGACAAACACATCATCCTTCTTTTTCCTAGTTGTAAATGTGCCTTAAAATCTTTGTTGATGAAGAAAAAGAAAATATATTTTGGAGATTGCATTTACCTCGAAAATCTGAAGTTTTAGAAAGTCAGACGAAAAGTCTGAAAAAAAAGTGGTCGGACGAAAAGTCCATGTGATTTTGGACTTTGTTTGTTGAGTATTTTCTATTATAAATATGTATCTCTTATATGTTTGGTGTGTAACAATCTTAGAGTTTTCACCAACAAGGGAGACCAAGGGTTTAAAGGTATAACATAGGTTTTCAGCTATACACAAAGAAAACCTTGGATTACACTTTGGGTTTGAGTGATTCATATATTGAGAATTGGAAAGGTAGGGAAACACTTGGGTAGAAAATAAGGTTGTTCTTGGACGCCTTCAGGGTTGTTCTTGGGAACCTGAAGGCGAAGGCTATTTTCTTGTAACTCATCTGTAATATCTTGTAACAACTTTCTGAGTATAGTGAATTAGAGAGCTGCTCTCTCTCCCAGAGTAGATCGTTTGATCAAACTGGGTAAACAAACCTTCGGGTTTTTCTTACCGTATTCTGTTATATTATCTGTGTATGAATTATTATTGCTTAAGACCATTTATTTTGGTTGCTATTGTTATTTGCCTCACAAATTGATATTGAATTTGGTCTTAATTCACAACAAGATTTATAACAAGTGATGCAGTGAGCGTGGAGCAAAGAGATATTATTGATAAGTGAGCATCATGGTTAGTAGATGGCAGATCGAGAAATTTTCCGGTAACAACGACTTCGGGTTGTGGAAAATTAAGATGCAAGCAATTTTAATTCAAGAGAAGTGTATCGATGCTTTGAAGAGTGAAACATTAATGCCTGCAGGGCTTACACAGGTACAGAAGACCGAGATGGTGGATAAGCCATGAGTGCCATTATCTTGTGCCTTGGGGATAAAATTCTAAGAGAAGTTGCCAGGGAGCAAACTGCGGTTGCTATGTGGGAAAAACCTGAATCATTGTGTATGATAAAGTCTTTGGCTCACAGGTTGTATCTGAAACAACAACTTTATTCATTCCAAATGGTAGAGAACAATTCCATAGTTGAGCAACTCACAAAATTTCACAAGATTATCGATGATCTTGAGAATATTGAAGTGAAGATTGATGATGAGGACAAGGCTTTGCTCCTGTTGAGTTCATTACCTAGATCCTTTGAGCACTTTAAGGATGCCATTCTTTATGGTAAGGAATGTACTATTACTTTGGATGAAGTCCAGACGGCGGTGAAATCCAAAGAATTTTCAAAGTCGAAAGATTTGAAGGTTGAAGACAGTGGTGAAGGCTTAAATGTGTCAAGAGGAAGAGGTGAGCATAAAGGGATGTCCATATCAAAGAGGTATGACAAGTCAAAGGTAAAATGTTTTAATTGTTAGAAAATCGGTCACTTTAAAAGGGATTGTCCTGAAAGAGAGGTCAATGAAGATTTTGTTTAAGCTGTAGTTGCGTTGGGTGAGAAAAGTTATGAGGATGTCGAAGCACTAGTAGTATCGAGTTTGGAAACTGAAGATAGTTGGGTCATTGACTCAGGTTGCTCTTATCACATGTGTCCAAGAATATAATACTTTGGAACTTTGAAGATGGTGCAAGGTGGAGTAGTTTGCCTTGGTAATAATAAGGCATGCAAAGTTCATGGTATTGGTATGGTCATATTTAAAATGGTTAATGATCGTGAACTTCTTATTCACAACGTGAGGTATGTTCCAAAACTCAAAAGAAATTTGTTATCTATAAGTATGTTTGATGATCTAGGCTATTGTACTAGAGTTGAACGTGGAGTGTTGAAAATTTTGCATGATGAATTGATTATTGCTAAAGGATCTAAAATATGTGGTATATATATTTTAGAAGGTTCAAATGTTATTATTCATTCATCGTTAACTAGTGGAGGCTTTCATGACAGGGAAGAGATATGGGATTTGAGTTTAAGGCGTTATGAATGCCTTGAAAAAGTTTCAGATGAGTACAATGAATTTTGTAGCATCTCAAAGGGACGGTTATGCTAGCCTTGGATATTATGTTTTTAATGTGGCTGAAGGACTGCAAAATAAAAGAAGAAAAACCTTCAGGGAGGCATTTGAAAACAGGCGGAGTCAAGGGTGGTTGAAAAATCATACTTGTAGGCTTGTTAAATTACCTAAGCAGAAAAAGGTAGTTGGAAACAAGTGGATGCAAGTTGTGAGATCAAAATTCAAGGGTTGCTTGAATTTGATAAAAGTTATTGATTAAAGTTTCAACTTGGTAGAGATCAGCAGTGTTGTTTATTGGTATCAACACTATTTAAAGTCAAGGTGAAGATTGTTGTAAATGTGCCTTAAAATCTTTGTTGATGAAGAGAAAGAAAACATATTTTGGAGATTGCATTTACCGCAAAAATCACAAGTTTTAGAAAGTCAGATGAAAAGTCGGGAAAAAAAAGCGGCTGGATGAATAGTGATCTATGTACGGATGAATAGTGGCGTCCGTACGGTGATTAGTGTTTTCAAGTTTTCGGACTTTTTTCAATTCGGTTCATGGATCTATGTGATTTTGGACTTTGTTTATTGGGTATTTGCTATTATTAATATGTATCTTTTATATGTTTGGTGTGTGACAATCTTAGAGTTTTCACCAACAAGGGAGACTAAGGGTTTAAGGGTCTGTTTGGTTGGGGGAATTTTGGAGGGGAGGGAAGGGGAGGGGAGGGAATATT